CCCGTTTTTGTCCACCTTGTCTATTCCGTGCAGTATTTTATATGTCGTTATCATGTCTCCCCTGACCCTCCTGTCCTCCAGTGTCGTCAGGCCGATTTCCCTCAACCTTTCTTCGTAGGACAATCCCCGTAGCTCTGGGACTAGTCTTGTTGCAAACCTTTGCACTTTCTCTAATTTCTTGACGTGCTTGACTAGGTGTGGATTCCAAACTGGTGCTGCATACTCCAGTATGGGCCTGACGTAGATGGTATACAGAGTCTTAAACGAATCCTTACTGAGGTATCGGAACGCTATCCGTAGGTTTGCCAGGCGCCCGTATGCTGCAGCAGTTATCTGATTGATGTGTGCCTCAGGAGATATGCTCGGTGCTATACTCACCCCCAGATCTTTTTCCTTGAGTGAGGTTTGCAGTCTTTGGCCATCTAAACTATATTGTGTCTTCGGTCTTCTTTGCCCTTCCCCAATCTTCATGACTTTGCATTTGGCAGGGTTAAATTCAAGGAGCCAGTTGCTGGACCAGGCTTGTAGCCTGTCCAGGTCTCTTTGTAGTCCTGCCTGATTTGATTCTTCTCATTAACTTCGCATCATCTGCAAACAAGGACACTTCTGAGTCTATCCCTTCCGTTATGTCGTTCACATATACCAAGAACAGAACAAGTCCTAGGACTGACCCCTGTGGAACCCCGCTTGTCACAGGCGCCCACTCTGACACCTCGTCGCGTACCATGACTCGTTGTTGCCTCCCTGTCAGGTATTCTCTGATCCATTGCAGTGCCTTTCCTGTTATGTGTGCCTGATCCTCTAGCTTTTGCAGTAACCTCTTGTGAGGAACTGTGTCGAAGGCCTTCTTGCAGTCCAAAAATATGCAGTCGATCCACCCCTCTCTCTCTTGTCTTGCTTCTGTCACCTTGTCATAAAACTCTAGTAGGTTTGTGACACAGGATTTTCCTTCCCTGAAACCGTGCTGGTTGTCAATTATACACTTCAAATGTTCCCAGTAGTTCACACGTTTAACTGAACTTACGTAGGCAAGTAAAGGTCTGTTAACCTCCAACTGTGCAGTCTTGAAGGTGGCCGTTAGTATGCTTCAATATTCCAGCCAGAAGAGAACAAGCAATTTGAAGAGCATAATTATCGGTATGTCATCTCTTATTTTGAACGTTCTAGTTAACCAACCTTTCATATACCTTGAGGAATCTATAGTAACAATGATATGGTCCTAAAATAAGAGTTACTCTAACATTGTCACTCATAAGTCTCACATATGGAACAGTCGCTCTATTGAATGATTTGAGTTAGTAATGTACACCATTCTAGTCTTCATTTTCCCCATTCTTCCAAAGAGGAGCAACTGAAATTTGTCCTTACTGAACATCACATTGTTTTTTGTGACCCAATGAAACACTTGATTTACATTGGATTGAAGATTCTTTGTGTGCTCGCGGGACGCCACTCTCGTCAAGAATCTGGTATCTTCTGCAAAGGATGTTGTGTTACTGAGATGTATGCTATTTTTGTCTCTGTTGGATATAAAAATTATTCACAGAAGCGGAGCGAGTTCTGTTCTTTGAGGAACAGAGCTTTTCACTGTCGCAGCCTCCGGGTTCTTTGTGTTAAAAGGTTAAATATCCATCTGCCCACATATCCAGTTATTCATTTTCACGCTTTGTTTTGTAATGTCACACCATGGTCGTACCTGTTGAAGGCTTCTGCAGTCGTAATGTTCACTGCATCACCATTTAATTGATGTCCCCCAGTGCATCCAAGACCATGTCGTAATGCTCTAGCAACTGTGAAAGGCAGGCGCAACCTGCTCTATATACCCTTGCTGCCCAAGAATGCGCTTCTCAGGACTCTTTCAAGAATAACATATGACGTTACAGCACTTGGTCTATAGTTATTGCAATTACTTTGCCGCCACCTTTTTGAAGTGGGACGATATCGTTGTTATTTTATGATCACAGGATGACACCTGTATCCAGGCTCTTTCATCATAGAATAAGTTAGCTGTTTCTTATAGCTTGAGATGAGCAGTAAATTCCATGAGTTTGAGCCTGGTGTAGAATATATCAATGTTTTCTTCAAAGTCAGATGGGGGAACTGCTACCTCAGAAATTTTGGAGATGTTAGCTGCATTTTGAAATACTCATCCTGGTCATCAGTCGTCAATTGATGAGAGGTTTACCGCACACAGAACCGTACTGACTTCAGTATTTCACTCATTTATTTATGAACATCGAAGTATATTCCTTCTCCTTTAAGTATGGGTTCCATGCTGGAAATGTTTTTGGTTTCTAGAACGAGAAAAAGCTTGTGTTTCTTTCTAATATCATTTATGTCTCTTTGTTTCCTTTGTCTCTCTTGCACTCTATATGATTCACTCAGTTTGTGTTTGATGTTCTGTATTTTCGCAGCTAGAGTTTCCTTTCTTTTCCTTTCCATTAATTTCCCCTCTCTATCTCTCTCGTTCGCTCTCTCTCTCTCTCTCTCTCTCTCTCTCTCTCTCTCTCTCTCTCTCTCTCTCTATCTCTTGAATTTGCATCTTCACCTCCTTCACTGTAGATGTATGTGTCTGGAGCAGACATTGAGCGGCGCCAATGAGCTCGTTCTCCAGAGAAACTGACTTAGACCCACGGTGCGCATGTCGTCTTCCCAGTGTACTTCATATAAGTCACTATTTATTTGGTTCCAGCTGTTGTTCTTGAAATTGCTTCTATTAAATTCGCCCTCATAAACAATCGTGTTTCTCTGACCCAGGCTGCTGTGTACGCAGGTCTTGTCTTGACCCAAGAGTATGTGATGGTCTCATATTGCAGTCTCTGATGTCCTTATGACACAAACCAGGTCCATAGTGGTGGTAAAAATTAGGTCTTGGGCAGTTCCCTTTCTGGCTGGTTCTGCCGTCTAATGGCTTAATAATTGTGATGTGTGAGTCTGTTCGGAGATTTATTCTGCTATATTCTTCCGTTTAAGATATATGAAACTATAGTCATCAAGCAGCACGATATTACGGTCTGAGTTTGATCATTTTTTCGTGACATGTCCTGATCTCTAATAGATGGTCTTTGAAATAATGAGAAATTATATCTGGATGTTTTAAATACAAGCACATGAAGTAGGCTCTAATTATCTATTTTGTCCGCTTAAACTTTGACATCATTTGGGATATTCATGAACTCAATACATATGAGAGACTTTTTAACATGCACACCAACTTCACTTGTTGACCATTTTTCCGGTCGCGTCTAAGTACTGTAGGATGTACTCAAGACCACATTTTTTCATTAAAATAGTTTTGTGTACATGAGTCTTAATAAAAATTGGAAACATTACATCTGGCTCAGTTGTGAGAGTACCGATTTGTGGTGTTATAATATTTTATCTTGGTTTCAGACCTAGTACGTTGTACTAGGCATTTCTTATTCAAACTTAATATCTGTAGCTCCGGCAGCTAGCTTATCACTGGTTTTGATTCTAGACCACTTCTGCGTATAATTCTTAGCATTTTTCGATATTCTTCTAAACTTCAAAGAACAAAAAGATCTTTGTTGGCTGCAAGATTATAGTTTTCATGTTCAGTTTTGAGTTCATGAGGCTTTGTACGCCTGGTACCCTTAAGTGGAAAGCCCGACAACATGAATCATAGCTCTGCCCTCCTGTACTGACCTACGGCACACTTCAGGGTGAGAGTTTGCAGGTCGTGGAGCAGCATGCGCCTGTCAACACGAGATTTCAATAGTTCTTCCGATGGTTGTATGTGCATGAATACGAGAATGCGTGTAGAAGTAACAATGTTATTATTGCTTGTATACGACACCACAACTTCCACGCCAACATCAAGGCTTGGGAAAGACCTACGTTATTAGAATTTGAAAATGACAGAATTAAACACATGTGTGGAAATTGCAGTTATCAGTCTGCTCAACACCATTAATCAGGGTAGTGGTATCCTCACCTCAGCCACAGCCTGGGGAAGAAGGCTTCCTGCAGTGCTCCTCAAATGTTCTATTTCCTGATATCTAAGTTAAACTTAGTTGTGAGTGCACTATTCAAGAACCAATGTTCTCGTGTTTTTTATGTACCTGATAAAGTTTCTCCCCTTAAATCAAACTAAGCACTTAACCCGAAAGCCTCATAAATGTCGGTCTACAAATCCCAACAGCCGGTCAGAGAGAGTCTGGTGTCGGCTCTGGCGCTGATGGAACGTTGTACCAATACAGGCTTTAAATGTTTTCTTGCTACTTAATCAGCAGAAAAATCTACTTAGTTTATACACAAATAACCCGCACATACGAGAAATAAATTTATGACGACATTAGAGTCAGACTTGGACCAATAACTAGTGACACAGGAACACAAAGGTAAGGAACCAGTAAATATACTGGCTCCCTTACCTTCGTGCTCCTGTCAGACTAGTTAATGTTGTCATAAGTCTGTTTCTTCTATATGTGAGTTATCTGTGCATTGTTCCAGTCACAGTATTGCGCCTGCTCATTATTCCTACACAGTCTAATTTATCTCCCAAATTAAGTTTACGGAAAAGTCTTAAAATACAATGTGAAGTCTCTACTGTATAGTGATTCCTCTCAAGAACCAAACTGTTTCACAAAATTCTCTGAATATCTATTACGTTTATTATCCCAATAATATGTCACTATATCAACACAACACTGAGGTGCATTTTAACAAGTAAGTCATACACTGTTTTATATCCTACTGCATCTTGCATATCTTCTTCTCAATGCATTTTTAGTGCAGTATTAAAATAATAATGAAAGAACGTAAAGACATCTTTATGGGAGACTTTCGGTCTTTGGTCCTTGTATCGAAACGTGTCCAGTAAAGATGTCCTGCTTCCTTTCTTCTATAACGTCCTAACCATCATATTTTCTTAAAATGTGAAAATATTTAATAAAACTTAAATACATTATATTCGTTAGAGTCTGATCTCATTATTTGTCGTTCCAAGAGAAAGCATCCCAAGTCACTCAGACACTCACCTGAGTGGATGCCAATCCTGAGCTTGAGTGTGTCGCCCGGCCGGTGTCTGATGGTGAACTTCTTGACAGCAGAGAGGAGTTTGAGGGCCATAGAAGCCACCTCAGCCGCGTGCTGGTCACCGTTAGTGATGGGTAGTCCTGACACTACCATATAGGCGTCACCTATTGTCTCAACCTGAGACACATACACATTGTCAGTAGGGGTGTAGAGGTAGGCATGGTTGGGTACCGGTGCCCAGTGGTGCATATGAAAGGGCATCTAATTAATCAAGACCAAAGGTGAACTGGGAAATTCAGGTGGATATTAATGTCTAGAGGTGTATATGGAGGTTCAGGTGGGTACTGATGTCTGGAGGTGTACATGGAGGTTCAGGTGGGTATTGATGTCTGAAGGTGTACATGGAGGTTCAAGTGGGTATTGATGTCTGAAGGTGTACATGGAGGTTCAGGTGGGTATTGATGTCTGAAGGTGTACATGGAGGTTCAAGTGGGTATTGATGTCTGGAGGTGTACATGGAGGTTCAGGTGGGTATTGATGTCTGGAGGTGTACATGGAGGTTCAAGTAGGTATTGATGTCTAGAGGTGTATATGGAGGTTCAGGTGGGTACTGATGTCTGGAGGTGTATATGGAGGTTCTGGTGGGTACTGATGTCTGGAGGTGTACATGGAGGTTCAGGTGGGCGCTGATGTCTGGAGGTGTACATGGAGGTTCAGGCGGGTATTGATGTCTGGAGGTGTACATGAAGGTTCAGGACTGTACTAATGTCTACAGGTGCACATCTTGGCACAGGGAGGCACTTAATTGTAATAGCATTGTTAAACGCTTGCTGGAACTCCGTCTTAATTACTTCACTATTTTACAGAAAGTCATTTCGATTAATAATGATTATTATAGTTCCGCATTTATGTAGCCAATGTTCATCCTTTGAAATATGATGTGTTGAGGCGGAGGCAACAAAACGTCCCAGGTTTTGTAATCATCGCTACCCTGATAATTCATCCTGACTAAATCCATTAAACCACATTTCATTTTCTCCCACAAAAACCCATACCTGTGTCTCCACACTAGACCTGGATAAGTGAGCCCCATCCCTGGTATTCACCGGTGTCGCAGGGCATAGATGGAAGGAAAAGTGGGTACTGATTCTCCAGTGTGTAGCAGGAAAGACAGGAACGCCACTAGTGACTAATCCCCAGTCAGATTTCACTCCATTAATGGTAACTCTCTGCTTTCTATTGGTAAGCCATGCTTCAATCCATGCTAGAACTTTACCTCCTATACCATGAGCTGCCACTTTTCTTAAGAGTCTCTTGTGAGGTACTCTATCGAAGGCTTTACTAAAATCCAAATAAACAATATCATATTCCTTATCACTGTCAACTGCCTCAAATGTTCTATTGAAGAACGTCAGTAAGTTTGTCAGGCAGGAACGACCTCTCGTGAATCCATGCTGAGATTCATTTATCAAGTTATGCTCTTCAAGGTGACTTCTGATAATGTCAGCTATAATTGATTCTAATAACTTGCCCACTATAGATGTCAGGCTTATTGGACGGTAATTTGAAGGAGTGGACTTACCCCCTGATTTGAATATAGGAACCACATTAGCCATCTTCCACAACTCTGGCACAACACTGGTAAGGATGGAAGCATTGAATACACTCGTTAATGGCTGACTAAGCTCCATCTTGCATTCCTTAAGTACCCTTGAAAACAACTCATCGGGTCCCGGGGACTTATTTTGTTTCAGTTTGTCTATCTGTTTAATAACCATGTCCCTCTTGACAGTAATATTAGTTAACTTAAATTCATCAGGAACTAAATAATTGTTAATTACTGGAATCTCATTTACATCTTCCTGTGTAAAAACTGACAAAAAATAGTCATTAAATAAGGAACACATTTCCAGTTCATTATCCGTCAGCTGTCCACTCCCAGTTTTCAGAGGTCCTACTTTTTCCTTCACCTTCGTCCTAAACACTTGAAAGAACCCCTTTGGATTAGTCTTTGATTCATTAGCAACTCTAATTTCATAGTCACGTTTAACCTTTCTAATCGCCTTTTTTACTTCTCTTTTAAGCTGAACATATTGGTCAGTAAGGTTAACCTCTCCTCTTCTGATGCGCCTATAAATTCCCCTTTTCTCCCCTAATAGATGTTTTAGCCTCCTGTTAACCCATCTGGGATCATTATTATTAGACCTAATTTCTCTCTGGGGAATGTATATACTCTGGGCACTGTGTACATTATTAAGAAAACAATCATAAAAGCAGATCCCTTCATATTCATAAGTATGATTATCGTCAATAAAATCATTAGCTAGATAACCCCAATCAAGATTAGACAGATGTTCCCTAAGTCCATTATAATCGGCAGAACGAAAATCAGGGATTTTTACTGTATTATCATTATTCTTGCATTCCCAATTAATGCAAAAAGTGATGGATTTGTGATCACTTGCGCCAAGCTCTTCTGTGATCTCCAGATTATTCAAGAGTGTTTCCTTATTTGACAAGACTAGGTCTAGCAAATTATTACCCCTGGTAGGCTCAGTTACGCTCTGTTTCAAAAAACAGTCCTGAACTGTTTCCATAAAGTCACTGGACTCTAGATTACCTGTCAAAGAATTCCAGTCAATTTGACTAGTACTTTCCTATATCCTTCCTGAATCTGAATTTTTCCAACTTAAAACCATTGCTGCGAGTCCTGTCTAGGCTAGATATTTTCAGCACACTATTTACATCCCCTTTATTTATTCCTGTCTTCCATTTATACACCTCAATCATATCCCCCCCTAATTCTACGCCTTTCTAGAGAGTGCAGATTCAGGGCCCTTAGTCTATCCTCATAGGGAAGGTTTCTGATACATGGGATCAACTTTGTCATCCTCCTTTGTACATTTTCCG